GTTCCGAGGAAGGGTCACTGGACCCGAAACGTTAACTCTGTTTTTTCCTTCACAGATGCTGCCAGACCTGCTGGGCTTTTCCAGCAACTTTGTTTTTGTTCCTGGTTTACAGCATCTGCAGTTTTTTCGGATTTTAACAAGCTCTTTTGTGGTTGGAGTCATACCTGACACATAGGAAGACGGTCGTGGTTGTTGGAGGTCAGTCATCTCAGCTCCAGGACATCTCTGCAGGAGTTCCTCAAGAACTCATCTTCAGCTGCTTCATCAACGACCTTCTCTCCATCATAAGGTCAGGAGTGGGGATGTGCACCAATGATTATATAATGTTCAGCACTATTTGCAACTCCTCAGATACTGAAGCAGTCCATGTACAAATGCAGCAAGCCTTCGACGATATCCAGGCTTGGGCTAGCAAATGGCAAGTAATATTCATGCCACACAAATGCCAGGCAATGACCATCACCAACAAGAAAGTATCTCACCATCACCCCTTTGGCATTCAATGGTCCTACCATCACCAAATCCCCTAGTGTCAACATCCTGGGAGTTTAACACTGACCTGAAACTAGTCATATAAACACAATGACTACAAAAGAAGATCAGAAACTAAGAATCTTGCAGCGAGTAACTCACCTCCTGACTCCCCAAAGCCTGTCCACCATATACAAGGCACAAGTCAGGAGTGTGATGGAATACTCCCCACTTGCCTGGATGAGTGCAGCCCCAACAACACTCAAGAAGCTTGACACCACCCAGGAGAATGCAATCACATCCATAAACATCCACTTCCTCCACTACTGATGCTCAGTAGCAGCAGTGTGTACTATCTACATGATACGCTGCAGAAATTCACCAAAGATCCTTAGACAGCAACTTACAAACTCATGACCACTTCCATCTCGGACAGGAGCAACAGATACACATTACCTGCAAATTCCCCTCCAAGCCACTCACCGCCCTGACGTCGAAATATATCACCGTTCCTTCAGTGTTGCTGGGTCAAAATCCTGGAATTCCCTCCCTGAGGGCATTGTGGGTCAAACTACAGCACATGGACTACAGCGGCTTATGATGGCAGCTCACCATCACCTTCTCAAGGGGCCACTAGGTATAGGCAATAAATGCTGACCTAAAAATGACATTCATATCCCATAAACAAATACAAAAATCAGACACAGTTTGGTTAGATTAGAGCTGATGAGCTGAATGGATTCTCAATATTCTGGAGGACTGATGACAATATATGGAGTGAATAGGAGTTACCGACATTCTATCATTCCAAACACAGGCACTAAGTGAAAAGGAAACCGCGGTGATAGAAAATTGGCGTACATAGATCTTATCCTGTTTGTATCGGAGAAAGAGGTTGTACAGAATGGCAGCTTCATGGAGATCCGTGAGACTTGACATGTCATCCACCCCGTCAACACTGGTCTGGTGCATTGGGACAACAATCTCCTCAGATAGTTCAGCCAGTTCATAGGAGAAAACCTAGAGAGAGTAGGAAAGAAACAGAGAGAGGGGGAGAGAGAGAGCGCAAAAGAGAGAGAGAACGAGAGAAGGCAAAGAATATGGACATGAGATAGAAATTGAGACAAGACAGGTAGACAGAGACCAAGAGTCCAAAAGACAGAAAGACATAGCAATGAGACAGACCGAGAGACAGATACAGAGAACAATATAAACCAAAAGACAGAGTTGGAGAGACAGAGACACAGAGACAATAAGACAACGAGACAGAAATACAAGACAAAAGGTGGAGATACAGAGCCAGACATAGAGCAAATGACACAAAGATTGAGAGAAAGAGAGAGAGAGAAAAGGGGAAGTTATTAGCACGTTAAGCCAAACAAGGTGGCCATTAGTCTCAGTGTTTCACACCTCAGCCTCTCCCACTCAGCTGATAGACTGTGAATGAGAAACTAAAAGAGAAAATACATTTATATAGAACATTCCTGGGTAAAATCAGGAAGTTTGGAAGTAACAAGGGAGTTGGGATACCGGATGTTAGTGGGGTTGAGGGGGTAACTGGGAGCGAGAAGACAGCAGAAACAAATTCCAACATCAAATCATGTATAAGTCAGAACAGTATTAAAAAGGTAGAATTACAGGTACTCTGTCTGAATGTGTACGGCATCCACAAAAAGGTAGGGGAGTTGATGGTACAAATAGCCATAAGTGGTGAGATCTAATTGTCATTATGGAGATATGGTTGCAGGGTGACCTGGACTGAGAACTGAATATTCAAGATAGTTGACATTTAGGAAGGATATGCAAAAAAAAGGAGGGAAGGGCGGAGCAGACCATAAGGGATAGGATCAGTCCGTTGGTGAAAAAGGTTTGTAGAAAAGAAGAACAAAATGTTTAGCTTGTTAGGGAGGGAAACTAAGAAATAGAAAATAGCGGCAGACAATGGCAGAAGTTGTTCATAGGCCACCAAACGGTAAGTGGTAATGGAATGACCACAAGTTCTGATGCATGTTAAATCTGCTTGCTTCCCACAGATGCTGCCAGACCTGCTGAGTTTTGCCAGCAATTTCTGTTTTTGTTTCAGATCTCCAGAATCCACAGTTCTTTCTTTTATTATACTAAGTGGTAAGGTTTGGCACAGTAAGAGTCAGGAAAGTAGAGGTGCATGTAACAACGACAATGCAGCAATATGGAGCATTTCAATCTAAATCTAGATTGGGTGAATCTAATGCTTTGGAGGATAAACTCCTGGAATGTGGACAAAATTGTTTTCTGGAATGATGTGTAGAGGGATGAAATGGGGAAAGGCTATTTTAGATCTACTATTGTTTAAGCAGAAGGAATTAACAAATAATTTTGTTGTAAAAGAACCTTTAGGGAAGAGTGACCATAATATGTTAAAAATGTTGCATTACATTAAAATGAATGATTGAGACTGGCAATATCTTGTATTTAAAAAATGAATATATTACAACAAGTACACATTCCTTTAAGGTACAAAAGCCCAACCGGAAAAGAAAGTCAATTCTGTTGAATAAGGGGAATTATAGATTATATCAGGTTAAAGGAAAGGGTTAATAAATTCACCAAGAAAAAAAGTTGACTTGAAGACTTGCAGCATGTTAGAATTTGCTTAGCTGGTGAGGAAGGTACAAGAAATCCAAGAGACTAGGAAAAATGGGAATTAAATGAAATTACTATTAGTAAAAAGGTTGTGTTGGAGAAATTAACTTGTCTGATGTTTGTTAAGTCCCTGGGACCTGATATTCTACATCCCAGAATGTTGAAAGAGGTAGCTACAAAGTTAGAGGATGCATTGGTGACCATTTTCCAAAACTCAATTGATTTTGGAATGGTTCCTGCAAATTGAAAGCAAAATTAAAGAACATGGAGCAGGAGGAAATATACTGACTTGGATTAATGATTGACTAACACTGACAACAGAGACTGGAATAAAAGGATTAATCTCATAATGGTAGCTAATGACTAGTGAGATAAAAATTATCCATTTTAAAGTTTTGGCAAAGATCTGTAGTTCGGGTTGTGGGTGAGGTTATTGACTTGCTCGCCGAGCTGGCTTGTTTTCGTTCAGTCGTTTCATCACCACGTTAGGTATACAGAAAAGCAACCCAAACTGATCAAATCCTCAACTTCCACAGCAACCACCCCAACGCCCACAAACAAAGCTGTGTTAGGACACTATTTAAACAGGCCATGACACACTGCAAAACTCCAGAACTATGCAGGAAAAAGGAAGAGCACCTACACAAAATCGTCACTATGAACGGAAATTGTCGCTATGAACGGATATCCCCGCAACTTCATCCGCAGATGCCTCTTAAACAGACAACAGGAGGACACCGTACACCCTAACACACTGGCCACATTGCCCTACATAAAGAACATATCGGAACTAACAACACCTAAGACCACTAGGAATCATGGTGGCCCACAAGTCCACAGCCACTCTACGACAAACACTCACAAGGATTAAAGACCCCATTCCCACAACATGCAGAACCACATGGTTTACAAAATACCATGCAACAACTGCCACAAACATTACATTGGACAGACAAGAAGGAAACTAACCATCATGAGCATCAACTAGCAGCAAAATGGCACGACGAGCTCTCCTTAATATCAGTACACTCGGACAATGAAGGCCATCAGTTTAACTGGGACAAAGTAACCATAGTAGTCCAGCCAAACATAGACATGCATGGGAATTCACAGAGACATGGTTCTCCATCCATAATGCAATCAACAAACATATAGAATTGGACACCATATACAAACCCATACAGATCAAAACCAGAAATGAGAGTACTCACCATGACAGACCAGACAGTATAAATTCCAAGCAGAGTAGAATAACATTGTTTCATCGGAGGCTTCACTGATGATGTCACCTAGCATGGTGACGAAACATCTGAACGAAAACAAACCAGCTCGGCGAGCAAGTCAACAACCTCAGTTACCCATTTTAGTAGGAGAGAGAGATTCACAAGGTTTTTCGTAAATGGTAAGATGCAGGAAAGTTTAGATATACAAAGGGACGTAGGTGTCCTTTTCGATACGTCACTGAAGGTTAACATGCAGGTGCACCAAGCTGTTAAAAAGATTAATGGAATGCTTGCCTTTATTGCAAAGGGATTTGAAGGAATTATGAAGTCTTGCTTCAATTGTATACCACCTTGGTTAGACCACTCCAGGACTATTGTGTGCTGTTCTGGTCTCCTCAGTTAAGAAAGGCTGTAACGAGAAACCAGGGAACTATAGACCTGTGGGCCTGATTTCGGTTGTGGGTAAATTGTTGGAGATGACATGAAAGATAGAAGTAATGGACATTTGGAGAGGCAAAAATTGATTAAGGCTAGTTAGCATGGCTTTGTGCGAGGAAAATAGTGCCTCACAATCTTGATTGAGTTTTTTGAGAAAGTAACCAAGAAGATTGAAGATGGCAGAGCAGTGGACGTTGTTTATTTGGATTTCAGTAGAGCCTTTGACAAGGTTCAGCATGGTAGACTAATTAGTAAAGTTAGGTCACATGGGACTCAGCGTGAGCTTGTAAATTGGATACATAATTGACCTAATGGCAGGAGACAGAGAGTAATGGTGGAGAGTTGTTTTTTGGACTGGAGGCCTGTGAACAGCAGTGTTCCACAGGGGTCAGTTCTAGATCCTCTTTTGTTTGTCAATTATATAAGTGATTTAGATAATAATATAGAAGGCATGGTTAGTAAGTTTGGAGACGACACCAAAATTGGTGGCATAGAAAACCTTCTGCACTGCCTACTAAGATTCCAAAGGGATCTTGATCAAATGGGTCAATGGGCTGAAAAAATGGCAGATGAAGTTCAATCTGGAAAAATGCAAGGTATTGCATTTTGATGCAACAAACAAGGGTGGGGCTTATACAATTAATGGTAGGGCCTTGGGCAGTGTTGTAGAACAGAGGGACAGAGGGTTCAGGTCCATAAGTCTTTAATGTTTGCGTCACATATAGAAAGGGAGGTTAAAAAGGCGTTTCGTACGCTTGCCTTCATTGCTCAATCCTTTGAGTATAGGAGTTGGAAAGTCATGTTGAGGTTGTACAGGACATTGGTGAGGCCTCTTCTGGAATACTGTGTCCAGTTCTAGTCACCCAGTTATAGGAAGGATATTATTAAGCTGGAGAGGGTTCAGAAGAGATTTACTGGGATGTTGCCGGGTATGGAAGGCTGGATAGGCTGGGACTTTTTTCACTGGAGTGTAAGAGGTTGACAGGCGACCTGGGAGAAGTTTATAAAATAATGAGAGGTATAGATAGAGTTAATGGTAGTTGTCTTTACTCTAAGATGGGGGGGGAGGGGATTTCAAGACTAGGGGGCACATTTTTAGGGTGAGAGGAGAAAGATTTAAAAAAAACATAAGAGGCAACATTTTTATAGAGAGGGTGGTTCACGTGTGGAATGAACTTCCTGAGGAAGTGGTGAATGCGGGTACAATTACAACGTTTAAAAGACATTTGGATAGATACATGAATAGGAAAGGTTTTGAAGGACATGGGCCAGGAGCAGGTAGGTGGGACTCATTTAGTTTGGGATTATGTTCAGTATGGACTGGTCAGACCAAAGGGTCTGTTTCTATGCTGTATGACTATGACTCTAAGGATATCCTTGCCATTGATTAAGTGCAATGGAAATTCACCAAGCTGATTCCTGGGATGATTGGGCTGTCCAATGCAGGGAGTTTGAAGAGACTGGACTTGTATTTTCTGGAGTTCAGAAGACTGAGGAGTGATTGCATTGAAACCTACTTAAAGGGATAAACTGAGTCAATGCAGGAGGAGGGATATTTTCTTCAGTCTCAGAATAAGAGACAGGTCACTTTGGACTGACAGGAGGAGTATTAGTGAAGGGTGGGAAACAGAAAGAATGGGAATAATCAGCAAAATAGGAATAATGGGGGCCAGTGAATTCTCACCTCTCCATATTCAGTTGTGAGTAGGACAATCCCATTGGAGGTACAGCTGACACTGCTCGGCAGTAGCTGATCTTTCGCTCGAAGCCATACAGAAGAACCCTAGGCACAGAGATAGAGTTATCAGAGAGAATTAGTACAAAACTGAGTGAAACAGAAAGTAAGACAGAGAGGGAAGAGAGAAAAAGACAATGAGTGAGGTTGAGAGAAAGACAGAGTGTGAAATGGGGTAAGTGAAGGAGACACATGGACTGAGAGAGAGAGAGAGAGAAAGAGACAAATGGAGTGTGGGACAGAGAAAGAGGTACAGAGGGGAAGAAAACAGAAAGAGGTAGATAGAACAAAGAGTGAGCAGAAAAAGGAAACTTCCCAAAGTTGATAGGTGAGGGAAGGGCTGTCGATGTCATATTCATGGACTTCAGTAAGGCATTTGATAAGGTTTCCCATGGTAGGCTGATGGAGAAAGTGAAGTCGCATGGGGTCCAGGGTGTACTAGCTAGATGGATAGAGAACTGGCTGGGCAACAGGAGACAGAGAGTTGTAGTGGAAGGGAGTTTCTCAAAATGGAGAACTGTGACCAGTGGTGTTCCACAGGGATCCGTGTTGGGACCACTGTTGTTTGTGATACACATAAATGATCTGGAGGAAGGTAGAGATGGTCTGATTAGCAAGTTTGCATTTGACACTATGATTGGTGGAGTAGCAGATAATGAAGGGGACTGTCGGAGAATGCAGCAGAATATAGATAGATTGGAGAGTTGGGCGGAGAAATGGCAGATGGAGTTCAATCCAGGCAAATGCGAGCTGGTGCATTTTGGAAGATCCAATTCAAGAGCGAACTATACGGTAAATGGAAAAGCCCTGGGGAAAATTGATGCACAGAGAGATCTGGGTGTTCAGGTCCATTGTACCCTGAAGGTGGCAACGCAGGTGGATAGAGTGGTCAAGAAGGCATACGGCATGCTTTCATTCATCGGACAGGGTACTGAGTACAAGAGTTGGCAGGTCATGTTACAATTGTATAGGACTTTGGTTCAACCACATTTGGAATACTGCATACAGTTCCGGTCGCCACATTACCAAAAGGATGTGGATGCTTTGGAGAGGGCGCAGAGGAGGTTCACCAGGATGTTGCCTGGTATGGAGGGTGCTAGCTATGAAGAGAGGTTGAGTAGATTAGGATTGTTTACATTAGAAAGACGGAGGTTGAGGGGGGACCTGATTGAGGTCTACAAAATCATGAGAGATATAGACAGGGTGGATAGCAAGAAGCTTTTTCCAGAGTGGGGGACTCAATTACTCGGGGTCACGATTTCAAGGGGAGAGGGGAAAAGTTTAAGGGAGATATGTGTGGAAAGTTCTTTACGCAGAGGGCGGTGGGTGCCTGGAATGCGTTGCCAGCAGAGGTGGTAGAGGCAGGCACGATAGCCTCATTTAAGATGTATCTAGACAGATACATGAATGGGCAGGGAGCAGAGGGATACAGATCCTAGGAAAATAGACGACAGGTTTAGATAGAGGATCTGGATCGGTGCAGGCTTGGAGGGCCGAAGGGCCTGTTTCTGTGCTGTAATTTTCTTTGTTCTTTGAAATATAGGAATAGGAGCAGGCCATTTAACACTTGAGTCTGTTATGCCAGATAATAATTGAACTGAAAGGGACTGCGGGAGAATGATACAAGAATATAGGAACAGGCCATTCAGCCTATTCAGTCTGCTCCACTATTCCATTAGGTCACAGACTATCACCTACTCAAACCACTTCCGCACTATCACCCATAACCTTTGATGTTATTAGTTTTGAACCTGCCTCATGATTGAGCCTCCACAAACCTCTGAGGTAAAGAATTCCAAAGATTCACCATCTCAAAGTGAAAAAAAATCTCCTCACCTTAGTCCAAAATGGTCTGTCCCTAATCCTGAGATCGAATCCCCCGATTTTAGAATCATTAGCTAGAGATAACATTTTGTATAAATCTACGCGGTCAGACAACCAAACATATGAATTTGGAGCCATTCAGCCCCTCCAGCCTGTTGTGCCATTCAATCAGACAATAGAATCACAGAATAGAATCATCAGTTTTGGCCCATCAAATCTGTACCAACCCTCTGAAGTACACCACGTTCCCACACAGCCCCCACACCACTCCCCCCTCCACACCCCATGCCTGTAACCCTGAATGGGTTTTTGTTTTAAAACCATGAATTAACTCACCTAACCTGCACATCCCTTGATACTGTGGGCAATTTTTTTTATTAAGGCCAATCCACCCAATCTGCACATCTTTGGACTGTGGGAGGAATCTGGAGCACTCAATGGAAATCCATGCAGACACGGGGAGAATGTGCAAACTCCATACAGTCGCCCGAGGGTAGGACTGAACCCAGGTCCCCAGCGCTGAGAGACAGTATGGTTGATCTGATTACTCCACACTCATGTATCCCGATAACCTTTGACCGCTTGCTTATCAAGGATCTCTCTACCTCTGTCTCGTCAAATATACAAAAACTCTGCTTCCACTACCCTTTCAGGTAGAGAGCTCCGAAAATTCATGACCCTTTGAGAGAAAACAATGTCTCCTCATCGATCTTAAGTTTAAACTGTCTTGGGGGTGCAAAAGAGAAAGTGGGGATAATCAGCAAGTGAAGGGAGTCATATATTCAAGTTTGCTGAATACACCAAGTTACATGGCATTGAAGACAGTGTAGATGATAGTCTATCAATGTCCATTGTAATTTTATGCTAAGTGATTGGACAAAACTGTGGGTGATGGAGTTCAATGTAAGCATTTAAGAGATTATCCATTTTGTACGGACAAAAGATAGATCAAGGCACTTTCTAGAGGGTATAAAGTTTAATGTAGTGGATGTCCAAAGAGACTTGGTATGTCAGGTGCATAAGACCATAAAACCATAAGCTTTAGGAGCAGAATTAAGCCATTCAGCCCATCATGTCTGCACTAACATTCGATGGTGGATGATATGTTTCTTAAACCAATTCTCTTGCCTTCTCCCAGTAACCCTTGATCCCCTTAACAATCAAAAGTTTATCTGTGTCTTAGATATAGTGAATGACTTGACGTCAACAGCCCCTGTGGCAATGCATTCCACAGATTAACCACCCTCTGGCTGAAGAAATTCCTCCTCATCTCAGTTCTAAAGGGTCTTTCCTCCTCTATGAGGCTGTGCCCTCAGGTCTTAGTCCCTCCCACTAGTGGAAACATCTTCTCCACATCCACTCTATCCAGGTCTCTCAGTTTTCTGGAAGTTTCAATGAGATTCCACTCTCATCCTTTTAAACTCCATCGAATACAGACCCAGTGTCCTCAACTACTCCTCTTATGACAAGCCCTTCATCCCTGGATTATTCTTGTAAACCTCCTCTGAACCCCTTCCAATGCCAGCACATCCTTCCGTAGATATGGGGCCCAAAATTGCTCACAATATTCCAAATGAGATCTAACCAGAGCCTTATACAGCCTCAGCAGTACATCCTTTCTCTTGTATTCCAGCCCTCCTGAAATGAATGTTAATATTGCATTTGCCTTCCTAACTGCCAACTGAAACTGCATGTTAACCTTAAGAGAATCCTGAACTGGGACTCCCAAGTCCCTTTGTGCTTCAGATTTCCAAACTCCTTCCCCCATTTAGAAAATAGTCTATGCCTCTAATCTTCCTACCAAAGTGCATAACCTCATTCTTTCCCACATTGTATTCCATCTACTACTTCTTTGCCCACGGTCCTAGCCTGTCTGAGTCCTTCTGCAGCCTCCCCGCTTCCTCAACACTACCTGTCTCTCCGCCTATCTTTGGTTCATAGTTGTGAATGGTTGTCATCCCAACACTGACCCCTGAGGAACTCTACCTGTCACCGGTTGCTAACTTGAAAAAGACAGATCTTTAAAATGTCATGAATGGATGTAGATAATAATCTAGAAAACTAAAGGAATGCTGTTTTTCTTTGTCTCTAAAGGACTGCAGTAAAGGATGCAGAAGTAATGCTGCTTTTATACAAAACTCTGGTTAGACCCCACTCAGAGTATTGTGAGCAGATCTGTGGACCACACCTTAAGAAGCATATATGAGCCTTGGAAGAAGTATAATGTAGGTTTACAAGAATGAAGTCTGGACTTCAGGGGTTAAGTAATGAGAAGAGATTACATAAATTAGGTCTTTTTTCTCTAGAATTTAGAAGGTTGAAGGATGATCTGATTGAAGTCTTCAAGGTATTAACAGGAAAAGACAGGATATATTGAGTTAAACTATTTCCACTGGTTGGGGATTCTAGAACTAGGGGGTATAGTTTGGGAATTAGGGCCAGACCATGCAGGTGAGATGTTTGTGATAAATATTTGGAATTCTCATACAAAAAAGGGAGAGGATTCGGGATGAGTTGTTAATTTTTAATTGGAGATGGATAATTTTTTTAAGCAAAGATATTAAGAGATATGGAGATAGGCTGCAGAACAGCCTTGATCTCATTGAATGGCAGAACAGGCTCGAGGGGCTGTTCCTATGTTTCTATGTATGGGGCCAGAGAACTCTCACCTCCCCTTATTCAGCTGTGAATAGAACAGTCCCAACGGAGGGACAGTTGACATTTTTCTGATTAAATTTAATCAGAAATCGCTAGTTATAGATTCTCCCATCAGACAAACCATTTATCCATCAAGGCCCCTGAAGATCCTGAAGATCACATTTGTCTGGACAGACTGGATAGAGGGATGATGCTTTCCCTGGCAGCGTCATGGTCTTGGGATATGTGATCGGCCATTTCAGACAGAGCTCAAGAGAAATGCTTTTGGTCAAAATGATGAGCATGTGGAATTCTCCATCACAAAGGCCTAGTCACTGAATATATTGAAAATCAACTGATAGATTTCTAGATGCTAAAAGTGTTCAGTTGTATGGAGAGAGACAGCAGAGTGTGGCATTGAGATAGAGGATTAGTCATGACATAGTCTGAGTTGTGGGGACCCTCAAGTTAATTTTAACACCAGTCCTATGGAATGGGTATTCCGTAATGGGAAAGGAAAAGCTGGAAATCAAGATGGCAACGGAGTATCAGGGCTGAACCTCCAGTTTGTCCGCTCCCATCAGCTT